GGGAACCCAAAGCCTCCTTATCTCCCCCTGGGTACCCCAAAATTATTCCCAGGGGCCCTAAAACCTCCTGGGGACTCCAACAATTCTCTTAGGGACCCCTAAAACACACCCTGGGGACCCTAAAACCTCCCTGGGGACCCTAAGGCTCTCCCTGGGGATCCCCAAAACCTCCTGGTGACCTCAAAACCCATTCAGGGAATGACAAAACCCTCCAGGGACCCCCCCAAAACCCCATGGGGACCCCAGAACACCCTCTGAGGGACCTCCAAACTTCTCAGGGACCCCAAAACCCACCTAGAGACCCCTCAAATGCAATGAGGGAACCTGAAACCCCCCCCTGGGGACCCCAAAAATTCCACTGGGGAACCATAATACACTTCGAGGAGCCCAAAACCCATTCAGGGGCCCCCCCAAACCCCCCTTGGGAACCTTAAAACACTCTATGAGGGACCACAAAACCTCCCAGGGACACCATAATCCCACTTAGGGACCCCTAGAGCAGATCCAGTGGACACCTAAATAATCTCTCCCTGGGGACCCTAAGGCTCTCCCTGGGGATCCCCAAAACCTCCTGGTGACCTCAAAACCCATTCAGGGAATGACAAAACCCTCCAGGGACCCCCCCAAAACCCCATGGGGACCCCAGAACACCCTCTGAGGGACCTCCAAACTTCTCAGGGACCCCAAAACCCACCTAGAGACCCCTCAAATGCAATGAGGGAACCTGAAACCCCCCCCTGGGGACCCCAAAAATTCCACTGGGGAACCATAATACACTTCGAGGAGCCCAAAACCCATTCAGGGGCCCCCCCAAACCCCCCTTGGGAACCTTAAAACACTCTATGAGGGACCACAAAACCTCCCAGGGACACCATAATCCCACTTAGGGACCCCTAGAGCAGATCCAGTGGACACCTAAATAATCTCTGGCACCCCAAAACCCACCCAGGAACCCCAGAATCCTCTTCCCCAAAAGCCCCCCAAATCCTCTCCTCCCCAAAGCCCCCCAAATCCTCCCGGGAGCCCAAAGCCCCTCCTAGGCCCTCAAATACACCCAGGGGACCCCAAATCCCACCCTGGGACCCCATAGAACCCCCCAGGGACCCCACAACCCATTCAGTGACCCCCAAAGTTGTCCCCCCCCATCCCCCGTAGACACCAGAACCTTTCTGCCCCTCCCCTGGCCCCGCCCTTTCCAGGTGACGTCAGGGGAGGCGGAGTTCAATGTCACCCTGGACGCCA